ATAATTCTTCGATTTTTGATTGGGTTGTTCCTAAACTTAGATCTATTTTCACTTTGAATGTTGGCAGATGAAGACCCTGCAATGACAAAATTCATAACAAAACCGTTAATGAAAAACAAACAAAATAATCGGCATGGATTGGTATAGAATCGAAACTGAGATATACATTTAACAAGAATCATCCGATTTTAATTGTAAATAGTTGAGAAACAACAAAAACAAACAATGTAAAACCTAATTTGTAAAAGTTTATAAAATCGAACTTTAGAGCAATATGAACTCTATCTCAAATACATGAATGGGATGTAAACCAAGATATATTAGAATAATGAAAAAAAAAACCTCTTTGTATACTTTTGACTATCAAGATTTAGTTTTGAATTTGGGACATGCAAACATGTATTGAGAGCAGTGGCACTATATTAGTAGAGTAAAAAAATGAAATTAATGACTAACATGGGTTGTGGCAGTGATGGAGCCAGGATGTTCGCTAAGGGGGTTCGAAGTATAAAGTAATAAATACGTGAGATGGGAAAGAAAAATATTAATCTTAACTCGCTAAATTTAACTTGTCTTGTTATGCCGCGTTTAGGTTCTTCTTACTTTTTACCCTGCTCCATCGAGTTTTTTTTTTCAAATTCTTGTGCTCTTTTTTTCTTTAAGTTTTGTCATGTTTTATTTTATTTTGATTTTTTTTATTAAAAAAATTCTGAATTAGTGCCCTTTCAATCTATGTTACTATAAAAATCACCAAGATTTTTTAAAGGGGTAAAAATTGACATATTTAGAAAATAAATAAATGACATTTAAATTAAAGAAAAAAAATTAAATTAAATAGATTTTGTTTAAAAAACTATTCACAATTTTAATATTTCTTCGTTCGGTTAAATTTAATTTACTTTATTATATATAAATATTTTTTCTAACTCAATTTAAAATTTAATAAAAATTTATCGTTTCTTCAACTTAGTACACATAAAGAGAACTATGTAGAAACAAAATGAAAAATATAAATAAGAAGAATCTAAAAGAAAAATTTACAAAGAATGTGGCTAATAAATTTAAACAAAGATAAATTGAAAAAAAAGAAGAAGAAATAGCATAAAAAGAAAACAATGAAAAATAAAAAGGATAAAACTTTACATTGAACCAATGAAGCATTTTCATTTGTTTGGGAATCTGGGCCCAAAACTTCTCAACGTAAAGCATAAAAAAAAGATGAAAAAACACTATTGCGATTTGCACCTGATGAGATTCAAACTCAGCCCTTCCAGGCGGAACTTGAACCCCTTGACCATTCCGCTATCATTCTCTTTAGTATTGAGGGGGTTCATTTTAATTAATATACCCATAAAATCAGAATTTGACCTTACATATATAGTGTAATTTTTCCGCGAGGGGGTTCGGTGACCCCCTCGGTTCCACGTAGCTCCTCCCCTGATTGAGAGGATTAAGAAAGAGAGGGAGATAGTGGAGGTATTTGAAGATCGTGGGGGTGGGAGTGTGAGATACTGTCACGACCAAATATATATGATAATAAAGTATGTCTAGTACTCTAGTTATATAGTTTTTCTACAAATATTTAGTTCGAATTTTCTAGCAAAACAAAGATAGGAGCTTCCTAATTCTTCAAGACTTTAATCGAATCATATGTGTTACTGTTGATGATATATTTTATTAAAATGATTTTATTTAATAGTTCATTCGTTCTAATTAATGTGATCTACTCTCTCTGTTCAACAATAGTTATCCACTATTGATTTGACACGATATAATAATAAGAGTAAAATAGACACAACATGATAAACTATTTATTGATTTAATAAATTGGTCAAATATCATTAGATATTGCAAAATAATATAATGAACAAATAAAGATGAACGGAAAAAGTATTTTTTAAGGTTTGTTTTTGGAAAATGACACATGTCTTAAATTTGTAAACAATGACTTTATGCGACGCATTTTCCCATAGATTTTTATATTCCTACCAATATTATAAATTTATACTATATTTTAAATCACAAATTTTAAACTTAGTAAATTTAATATCGATTCGAATTATATCTTATAGTCTCAAATCTCAAATATTATAATAATATCCCACCAACAACCCAAAGATCTTTTTGATTTTTGGGTCAGAACCGTCCAACCTCCTTTTGTCTGATTTTTGTCTTCATTTGCATTTAATTAACCTAAATCTATGTCGGAGTTTTAATTAAGAATGGAAAAAGGGTCAAAAATGCCCGAAAGGAAATTAACCTAAATCTATGTCAAAATTAACCTAAATCTATGTCGGAGTTTTAATTAAGAATGGAAAAAGGGTCAAAATTAACCTAAATCTATGTCGGAGTTTTAATTAAGAATGGAAAAAGGGTCAAAAATGCCCGAAAGGAATAAAAATGTCCTCTGTTTATAGTTTGACTCAAAAATATCCTTATCATTAATATTTTGACTCAAAAATACCCTTGCAGCCAATACTTTGGTTCAGAAATACCCTTATAATTACAAAATGGGTCAAAATTGCCCTTTTCAAAATAAATATATATATTTTTTCTTTTTAAACACATCTTCCTCCTAATTAAAATATTATTAAAGAACACTATTCTTGTTTTCTTTCTTCTAAATCACTTTAACAAATAAAATGTAGGAAATATTTTTTTCTTCTTAATCTCATTTTATCAATTAAAACAGAATAACTTCATGTACCCTTTCGACAGATAATACATGTCATATATATAAGATCATAGTATACCCATCATTAATTTATATTTATATAACGATAAAAATAATGATAATAAAATAAGAAATATTTTTATTTTTATTTTTTTCTGAATTGAAGTAAGATAAACATTTGCTAATTTTTTTTTAAAAACATTATTAGAAAAAGAATGTATTAAAAAGAAATTAATAATATATTAATTTGGAAAATAAACATTTTGCTCCATTAAATTACAATAAGGGCATTTTGGACTAAATATTGACGGCAAAAATATTTTTGAACCAAAATACAAACGGAGGGCATTTTTGAACCAAAGTATTGACGGTAAGGGCATTTTTAAGCCAAACTATAAACAGAGGGCATTTTTGTTCCTTTCACATAATTTAAGGGCATTTTTTACCCTTTTCCCATTAAAAATTTAAATTATATTTGTAATTAGTTTTTTATTTTATTACTATTATATTAAGTATATTTTTAACCCATAATATATATTAACATTAACTCAATTAACGTTAAATACGGTAATAAAATATACTGCAATTAAATGACTCTTTTCCTTTAGTGACACTTTTAGTTTTAGATGTGATAGTTTTTATTTTCATGTTATAAACTTTTTGATATTATAACTGCGTTAAGATTTGCTTATTTCAATAAACTCTGGTTCGTACACGCCTTTTATTATTTAATTTTTTTTAACACATAGTATACAAAATGTAAAACTATTAGGGTTGTTCAAAATCGAATCGAAATCGATAATTTGAATCGAAAAAAAGTTATTAGTTTATCCGTAATGGGTTATTGGTTTAACGGTTTTGATAACGATTTTTATTTTTTTTGTTATCGGGTTATCGGTTCTTAACGGTTTTAGGTTTTTTCTTAACGGGTTAACCGATAACCCGATAGTAAATTAAATAATTATATTTAGGCCATGTGTATATAAAGTCCTTGACTTAGAGTTTGGTTTGCTACTTTTATTTCTGGTTGTCCCAAATTCTTGGTTATTCTACAATGTAAAAATATTTGCTTTTGAGAAAGATGTAACTTGTGAACTCATGTGCATGGTTCATTTGGTTTGTCACCTTGTTTTTACGTGATCTTCAATTATTTTTTCTGTGTCAAATCTTAATGGTTAAACCGATAACGATCAATAACCGATAATCAATTTTTTAATGGTTCTATAAGGTTTCACATCTCTACAAATCGATAACCAATAAGTTAAACCGATAAACTTCAAAACTGAACTGATGAATCGAACGATACACAGTCCTAAAAACTATAGTAGTATTGAATTTGCAAACCACTAAATTTAATCGTTTTATTAATTAATGTTTAATTTGGCTCTTAATCACGTGATTCCTCCTTGGAACACTAAAGTCTAGTAGGAGCTGAGCTGTTAGCCACTAGCCATGCATGCTTTGGTAAATATCTAATTATTATATTAAACTCTTTTGATACGGCAATTTTAGCATTCGTCTGGATATGTGATTTTATCTCATAATTTAAAATTATTAGATGAAATTAGTGTTTGGACATATGATTTTATTTCATGATTTTAACTTACAAGATGAAATCTCAAATTCTTCAAAAAAATTGATTTGAGAATTTATAGTTGATATTATTACTTTTACCAATTTTTAACCTATTTACTCCTTCCATTTCAAAATAAGTGAATTGTTGAGGCAATGCGTTTCATTAAGAAAAAAAAGTTTATGACGTAAAATGAACACCACTTTCCACTTTTACCCCTTTAGATATTCTCGAACTATTCTTGAAAATATAAATAATTCAAAGTAAATCATAAATATGAGCAATTAGCTCTTTTGAAAAATATCATTTTAAAGATATAAATGAGGACTAAAAATGGAAACAATTTCCAACAACTCTCTTAAAATTTGAAAAATTCACTTATTTTGAACTATAAATATAGGGGTCAACGATTCACTTCTTTTGAAATGGAGGGAGTATATCGAATATAACCATTACTATCAACAATCAAATTTTATTGTTGATATTTATTACTCTTACCAACCTTAAACCATTTATATCGAGAAATGCATATGCTCATGTGAGGAGATTGTCCGTACCAAGATGATTATATTAAAGAATATAATATAATACAAGTCATGTTATACTCTACTTTTTTTATTGAACTAAAGTTCGTTTATAAATAATTTAAAAAATTAATTTGTATTTTTTAATTTAAAATTATGGCATTTGACACTACCATTTCTCTATTTATAGTGAATGTCATTAGCCTTAAAGAGTAACAATATCATATCATTGTGTGAAAAAAGAAAGGAATAAAGAAAAAATGGAGAGGAAAATTTCTGGTCTTTTGTTTCTCCTTGTCATTTTGTTCACTTCACGTAAGTCCTTTTTTCCCCTTCCTTTTTTTTTTAATGTGAACTTATATTTAGAAAAAACATTTAGGAAAAATGCTCATATCTTGAGTTTGCTTTGTATGAAGGAAAATATTTTTGGGAATTTTTTTTGAGTTTTTAGTTATTTTATTATATTTGGTAAGTAAATGAAAGATATTATTCACAGAACATTATATGTTATCTAACAAAATATTATGATGGGTGGAATATGATGGAGATTAGTGGTGTAATCACTTAGAGTGAAAGATGGTCAGTTGATCAACATCCTATTCGTCGAAAAATTATACTGTATAATATTAAAAGTTAGAGAAATATATAAATATATCACAAATTAAATTAGTTTTCATGAGTATATATTGAGTGTTGAACACCCTTAGCAAGATTTTTGTCTGCGCCATTGGTGGGGAATAGAGGTTCGGGGGTGGGATGGTCAAGAAATGGAGGTCTTGATGTGGGGATGAGACAATAAATTTAGAATATCACTTGTGAAGTATATTTTTTTTTCTACTTCCATCAGAAGAATCTTTTTTTTTTTTATCATTTTTTAAAGAACTTATATTTTCTAGGTACCAAACACACCCTTAATTTGAAAGGTATCCTTACACATTTTACATATATTTTAAATAAAATGTTCCTATATAGTCTATTACGACTTTTGCTGCTTCCCATGAAGGAATATTGGTCATATATTTGTTGTACAAATCAATCTTTTTTCTTTCCTCTTTACTTGGCCTCTATTGATGCAAAAATATATAAAAATAATTACCTATACTTCAAGGTAATTAATTAAAAATCATAAAAAAATGACCCTATTAATAATTTCCAACTTATGGTATAGCAATAGTATTCGCATTGAATATGTAATTGTAGTTATTATCAATCGTAACAAATTTGACATACATAATAACATGTTGTAACCGATTAAATTGAAATTATGGATGCAGAAATGTTGATCCGAGGGGCGGAGGGAAGAGTGTGCATCTCGCAAAGCCATAGGTACAAGGGTCCATGCCTGCGTGACCACAACTGCGCTCTCGTCTGCCGTAACGAATATTTCTCCGGTGGAGACTGCATTGGATTTGGCTTTCATAGAAAATGCTATTGCACTAAGTTTTGTTAATTAATTATAATTAATTAGTGTCATGAAAATGACACTTAATTAGTTCATTAATCCATCACTAAGCTAGTTTTGTTTTAGGGAATAAAATGTAGTAGTGGTTTTATAAAGGGCATCACACCCCTTAGTTGTCTCTTTTCACGGAATCTACGTGAACATGAAATGTTTTGTGCGTCGATGTTTGTTGTGTTCTTCATTTAGTAATTCTTTTTTTTTCCGGTTGCACTTGGTACATTCTCTACTATCAAACAAACAAATAATAAATATTTTTAATTACTTTTAAGCGTTTATTTAATAATTTTCATATAATATATCAAATACGGTGTATTTTAAAATTTTATACAAAAAAATTTGATAAAAGAAAAGAAGTTTGTGATGGATTTGCGATTGATATTCTTTTAAATGCTAAAATCAACATTTATAAAATAAATTATTGCGACAAATGATATTTGTCACCCAAAATTAAGGTAGAAAAATGAGACTCAATTATTTTTCAACTTATTAGTGGCATAATATTTTGTGAAAGAATTAATAAGTCACCTCTTCACTTTACCGTTCAAAACATGATATAGCCATCATTTTAAAAGTGGATTTAACTGAATTCAATATATAAATTTTGCTTAAGTCATATATTTTTATTTAAAAAATTATTAAATACATGTAAATATTTAATAAGCAACCCTAATAACTAAATCTATAAAAAAAAAAATTAAAAAAAGAATGTGTGATGCCGTTAATAACTAAATCTAATTATGGATTTGGTGATTAATTTAGAAATCATACACTTATCATGTTCTTCCTCGAAACAAAAATTGTCTCTCCTTTTCACGTTAACAGTTTATACCTAACAGAATCAAAGCAACTGAAAAAATAATAATTTTGGGGATAATTAACATATATAGTGAAATTCGGGATAATGAAAGTGTATGCAATATGTCATCGTCTTTATGAGCTATAGAGGTTGTTTCAAACGAGTCTGGCATGAAAATGGACACTTTTTGAACTCTAAACACCAAAAGAGACCTCTCTAAAAACACAAATCAAAATGGACAGTTCCGCTCATTTATAGGCGAACTACAACTTCCATCTTTTAACGACGTAGTCTTTGTTAACTCCAAATTCATCCAAAATCCAAACTAATATTAAACAAAACTTAAAGGTAGTTCGCCCACAAATGAGTGAACTATAATTCTTTTTGTTAATCCCGCTCACATGAATCTATGTCTCTTTTTTTCTCACGTGAAGTTATATCTCTTTCTTCAACAATAATAAGAGTTATTCACTCCACATTTTTTCATTCATCTTCTAATTTACATATTCATATTTTGATTTTTGAAATTTGATAGTCATGTCTCCGCTATCCGAAAAGTTTGTATATTCAGTTCAGCTAGATGTTTGTAAATGCAAAGAGTATTGTAAATGAAAGCATGAAGGACTCCTAGAAATTTTGATCGTAAGTTTTAGAGTTGTCCACATTCAAAGGTAACAAAATTAAGTTGTCTACTTCAAAATATTTAGATATTCACTTGATTTCTTGTTTTGTTATTTCAAAAAAATGATGGATGCGATTATTTTCGGTGAATTGAAAACACGCTCATAAATGAAACTAACATCATTCTTTCACAGGTGGGGAGATCCTCTTTCGATGATGATACACCAACTTCATACATCAATATGAAATTTGTAGAAGATAGAGAATCTTCTAAGGACATTACTAAAAGAATTAGAAGAAACTTCTAGAGTCACAATGCTAGGCTTCGTAGAAATGAAATGGACATTGCTCCAGGTCACATGACACAACAATGTTGTTTATGTCGGGAAATTGGTCATAAGAGGTATCGTTGTCCCCGTCGACCTTAGTAATTTTTTTATTATTGTTGTAAGGAAATAAATAGTGAAATTTATTTTATGAGAAAAAAAAATCAATTTTTAAAATATTTTTATTATTGAAAAAATCATGATAATATGTATTTACAATACACTTAAAATTGAGAAAGAGATATATATTCAGGTGAGGAGTTAACAAAAAAAATTGTAGTACGCCCATTTGTGGGTGAACGACCTTTAAGGTTTGTGCAGCATTAGTTTGGATAAATTAGGAGTTAACGGGGACTACAACGTTAAAAGATGATAGTTGTAGTTCACCCATAAATGGGCTAATTGTTTGTTTTGGTGTGTGTTTTTAGAAAGGATCTCTTTTGGTGTTTAGAGGTCAAAAAATGTATGTTTTGATGCCATACTCGTTTTCAAACAAACCTGACTCAAGCAAATTAAGCGGAAGAAAGGTACGATGTTTTATACTACCGACCAAACCAAATGTTCCACATGAGTAATCTAGTAATATGGCAACTATTAACTACCTACTTAACCTTCTACCCTCATCCGCAACCTCTATACCCTCCAATTTAAGGTCACATCTTTCGTAAATTAAAGATGTGTCATCTTTGTCTCTAATCACACCTCCCTCTATTCTTCTTCTGCTTACCTCTTCCGACCTCACTCTATATCCAATCTCTCATAACCCACACATCTCCTGTTCACATGTCTAAACCTATCAATAGTTTGATGTGTTCCCTAAAAAAGGCAACTCCATGTCCAAACCTATCAATGTTTTGATGCTTTCCTTAATAAAGGCAACTCCGTATCAAAAGGGACTCGAACTCGAGACCTCTTGATTAAGTATGAAAGAGTAATTACCATGATGGCCTAACCCATCGATGGCCCCTTAATAGTATATTATATTGTTTTGATTCTATTAAGTTTACTTAGGCCTAACCATCGATGACCCCTTAAAGTTGGCACGAACTTTCACTTAGACACCTCAAGTGGGCGATGTTCATTTTAGACACCTCATGTAGGACCTTGCTATGTCATTTTGACACTTTTTGCTTACATGTCTTAGTGAGTGTAATACACTCGTTGAGTGCGCGTGAAAGACCTTTTTAGTCGTTTTTTTTAATCATTTTTTTCTTCTTTTTCTTTCACATTATCAGCCACCATTTCTGCAAACTTAAATATCCAACATGATGAATAAAAATAATTATAGTAAAATGATGAAAAATGATGGTAACTATTTTAGAAATTTAGGAATAGACCCATTTCAAAATTTAAATATTAAATTATTAATGAGATTCTTTCATAAAAGAATTTAATATTTACTGTGAATTAAGTTTAATTTTTGGTGAATTTTAAACCTGCTAATTAGAAAAAAAAAACAAAAAGTATTTGAAGACGACACTAATAAAAAAGGAACAACGTGTAGATGGGTGTGTTCCCAGATGTTTTAGCAAAAAAAAGATAAAGGTATTTGGAGAAGACAATGGGTGGGGGTGGGGGAACGGGCATGTGCAGGTGTTTCTGTAAAATAAGAATTATTTTGACAAAAATGACAAATGTCGTCGTTTGATTAGTCACTTTACAAGTCATTCGCCAATGTAACATACACACCTTATATATTCTTATTGATTGGAAAAAGGGTGTCAAAATGACACTTTTGACACAGCAAGACCCTACATGAGCTGTCTAAAATAAACATCGCTCACTTGAGGTGTCTAAGTGAAAGTTCGTGCAAATTTCAAGGTACCATCGATGGGTTAGGCCTAAGTAAAGTTAATAGAATCAAAAAAATATAGGATGTTGTAGACACGTATTTTTGACCGAACTTAAAATTTTACACCATTTTTAGAGCTGAAATATTTTTATAAATATAAATTAAATATTTTGACTTTTCCCTTATTTTATTAAGTTTATTTTAAAAGATTTGAAAGCAACAAAAAATAAAGTCACATTTAGTTTCGTCAAAACGAAATGAAATTTACAAAAATATAGGTATTCCTTTAATTTAAATACATTTAGTGTTTCTTAATGATATATTTTTGATTAGTTATTTAAAATGTTTCTCATATTTTTAGTTGTTCAAAAAATAGTTATATTATATTATATTATATCATAATATATTATATATTAAAAAACCTAGACTACCCAAAAGCCATTAACTTAAACCACCTAAAACCTAAAACCACCCAAAAACATATCATCTGCTACCAGAATTCCTCCATTCACGTAGCAGCATACATACAACAGATACCAAATTAACTAAAACACTCACCGAACTTCCTCACATCGCATATTCCTTTAAAACCTCAACCAACACCTCCCACTCCCACACGTCTCTCCACTTCCTCACGTTTTTTTTTTCCTTTCAGAAAAGAACCAACCCCCCACTGCTATATAACCAACAACCTACACAGAAAAGAAAAAAAAAGAAAAGAAAGCAACAGAGAAAAATACAAAAGCACACAGATAGAAAAAGGAGTGGAGAGAGGAGAAAAAGAGACGAAAAGTGAATTTTATTTTGAATTAAGTCATAGTTCGAGGTTTTGTTTGCGGTTTCGGATTCGTGGCTCTTTAAAGTTAATTTACAATTATTAACTTTGGAAATCAGTATATCCCAACAGTTGTTTCTTTTGTGTGGAAATTTCCGAAAGAGGTAATTCTTGTATCTTTACATTGGCGTAAAAATAAAATTGTGATACTATACGTTCTTGTTTTTTTAGCCAAATATATATAAGATTTTGCTTTACCTCTTACTTTTATGTGTCGTGTAAATTTGATATATTCATTCTCTTTGAGCTTTATTTTATTTTATTTTATTTTTCTTTTGTTTTAAAAGAGCTTATTAGTTGATTCGTGTTATTTTATTTCGCTCAATGAATACGTAAATCTTAGTGACATGGAGTTGGTAGTTAACTTAACAAACAATGTTCCAACTTATCGAATGGTCAAGCACAATGTGTAATAATCTATAATATCACAGGATTTCACTTTTATTTACTCTTATTTTATTTTTGTTGCATTGAAACCTTTGGTGGCATATAGTTCACATTTTATTAACAATATTATAGTAGTTTGTTAGCATTTTTTTTTTCCTTTCTATTTCCTAAATATATATGTTTTAGTGTTTACTTCAAGAATGTTATCTTCCTTTCTGTCTTAGTTATAATAATGCTATAACCTAGTCATCATGTCGACTGATTATTTTCCTTCGAAAGTTAAGTAGTTGGATGCGTAAAAATATGTTTTCATCCTTCATATTCTATTTACTTTCGATTAAGTAGTTTTACCACTAGAATGAGTTTGGGATGATTATCGCTTTAATATAGATTATTAGGTATATAT